TCACTGCCAATCAAGCCAACTAATGGTCTGTTACGTATTATAGTTTACGAATGTCGGTTAATGAAGTATTAATGTAAGTTATTATAAATCATTATCTAATTTTATTGCATGTGATATGATATTTAATAACAGAAGTATATCTGTTTTGCTGTTAAATGTTCAGACTGATGGTTGTGTGAGGGCTGTGGGGCCAATGCTGTTGCTAGGTGGTGACAGAGTCATAATAAACATGGCTAACCTAACATGAGATTATCTAGTATCCAAAAGTAGCTGTTCAGGGTTTTGTTTCAAACACTAAGAAAAGAGAGATTCAGAAAGTGTCAACTTCATTAGAGCATTTTTTTTTCAACCTGTACAGAGATTTCAGTGTCACTAGGGATTATGTCATCCCTTCATAAAGAGTCATTATTCATTCACAATATGTATGATAATAAGTTGTTTTATAGTAAGAAGCTTGCACATGTAAGATCTTTTAATGAGCTGGTTAAGTCTGCGCTTCATGTGAATGTTAATTCACTAATAGGCATTGGAGCAGAGAAAGGTGCATATGCTATTTGAGTCTAAACCTCAGGCACTGGCATGGTCTATTACCCTGAGATTATCAACACAACCTCCTGACATTGCTTATGACATGCCATTAATGCAGTTGTAGTTCTACTGGAGGAGGAAAAATGTCAGCTGTTTGCTAACATTAATGCCATTTTTCATGTACAGTAGGCAGATTGTTGTATACTATTATTGTAATATTGTTTAACAATAGCTAGCTTGAACTAAATGCCACAAAATGTGGTTCCTGTGTATGTAGATCTGCAAGGCCATGTAGTTTCGCATTTGTAGGTTACTTGGCAAATTATTTTCTGGTTTTCAGCATAAAAATTTAATAAAAATGAATAAAACAAATAAAATTTGTACAAAATTGAATAAATTTATTTTATTTTTAATATAAAAAATTATCTGGAGCAGATGGATACAGTGGATAGGAGCAGTGGATAGATTGCTACTCTTCTTTGTTTGTGTATAATCATGACTCACTGTAGTTTAGAGTCAGTGCTTCCTTAGTTATAAAGTACTGTAAATATAAGCATATGTGGACGTGCAGGAATGTTAATGTAGTCTGTTTTGTATTATACCATATAATTTTCCTTACAAAAAAAAAATGGAACTATGTCAGGTGCTGAATATAACTAATCCCCAAGAATGTATGTGTTTGAATGAAAAAGGTGCAGCCAGCATAATTGGAGAACAATGGGAGGGTGTACTGTAGCACTGTTCGGCTGCCACCCGAGGGATCCCCAGACTTGCACAGAGATGATGAAGTGCTTCTCCCAGCCTCTCTCCCTTCCCCCAGCTGGTGTCTCTCTCCAGGGGTCTGTGCACTCTCTAATCTCACAGCACCACCACTGGACTATATTTGCCTCGATTAACATGCAGGCAGTCGACGCCAAAAAATCATCAAAAAGTGCTTGTGCTGTTCTATAGCAAAATTATAGAATGTCACCAGTAAAAGTCAAATAATAGAAAGGAAATCTTAGAAAATCAAAATTTGAGAATCATAGAATATCAATATGAATAGAGTAGTTTCAAATTTTTTCTGTATTGCTAATGTTTTCACTATTGCTGTTAAATGTGTACATATGTATATACATATATATATGTATATATATTAAAATTTACATAAGCTTTTTTACGACAAAATGCTTCATGCATGGATGCATCTGATGATTTGACATTTCATGTGAAAGTGAAAGTGATGTGACATGTGGCCAAGTATGGTGACCCATACTCGAAATTAGTGCTCTGCATTTAACCCATCCAAAGTGCACACACACAGCAGTGAACACACACCCGGAGCAGTGGGCAGCCATTTTTTGCTGCGGCGCCCGGGGAGCAGTTGGGGGTTCAGTGCCTTGCTCAAGGGCACCTCAGTCGTGGTATTGAAGGTGGGAGAGAGCGCTGTACATTCACTCCCCCCACCTACAATCCAACCTTTGGGTTACGAGACCAACTCTCTAACCATTAGGCCACGACTTCCCATGTGATCACCACATCAGAGCAGCTGCGACAGCTCAGAATATAAATCACTATTATAGGCACTGTTTTGTATTTTATTTTATACTGTTTTGTACTTGATTAAAAACATGTTTCCTGTATGAAGCAAAATTTTTAGGAATAAAAAAAAATCACTGTGAGTTAGAAATGACTTAAACACAGAAAGGTGAATGACAGAAGCTTGAAATTTCTCAAACAAGACAGCTAATAAATGTAAACAATTATTGTAGGCTTACCATCATGATTCAGGACAAGACAAAACATTTTTTGAGCACTTTATATTGTTATGCACTGGCTCAATTTGTTTCTAACTAAAAGTAAAACCAGAAATCCTTTATGAACATGCTAAATATTGACTGTATTTAATTACGTTATAAAATAAAAATGTATTATGTAGTAACACATATATTATGTATTACTAGTGCAATGGCATTAAAATCGCAAACTGAATAGGAAAACAATTAATTGACATGATCAAAGTCCCTTTTTTAATGATTTCAGAGGAAGAGACATCACGTAAAAAAGAATGCAGGAAAAATGGATGGCTGCCTTCTGGGGCTAATCCTTGATTTGATCTTTAGCGGGACAGACAGAAGTGGCAGTGTCAGCACTGTTATGGGGTCTAAGAATAAACACTATAGGCTCTCTGATGCCGGATTCAAGCGGCACTGCTGGCCTCGGGACAAGAGAGAGAAAGAGAGACACCAGTGGGACATGAAAATATCTCATCATCCACCCCTCTGATCATTTCATTTTTTTAGGCTTTTGAGGCAAAGCCATGGCCAAATTGGACACAGAAACCCCAGAAATCCAATTTAACACAGCTCTCTTCCACTTGCCATCATTTGAGGTTGGGGGATGGGGTCAGGAGAATAATCTTTAAAGAGGCTCTTGCAGCTTTTCTATCCTATTTATTTTTTTTCATTTGACTGTGTTTTATCTGTTTGAAGATGTGTAAATATTGGCCACGTCGTCATTCTTATGCATATTCTACCGTATGTGCCTGTCTCTTGAATAATTTAAAGAGGTTTTCCCCTGTGACGACCCACAGTCAAATCTGAGATACACTCTGCCAACCTTGGTTTCTCTTTGATGGTCGTCCAGACTGCTTTGTCTGTCTGAAGGCAGATAAGGGTTGAATAATCAGTGTTTAGCTCTAATTTTTACTCAAGCTTGTTTGTATTGTGGAATAAAGAATGGAAAGTGAGGTCATGCATTGTGTCTCATATGTGGAAAAGTCCCCAAAAACCTTCCTCCTCATGTGGGAAGCACTGCTTTATTTCTTTACTGTCTGCAGTGTTGGGGTAACTTACAAAAAGTTTCAAGTAGTATGACAGCAGCTTTTTAAAAGTGTAGCAGTGTAGCTATTTTTCTGATTACTTGTGGTGTAGCATGACAAAACTCAAGAGTATGTCACTATTTTTGTTGCGTTGCATTTACAGCGAACTGGTGAACTGGGAATATAATCAAAAATATCAGTTACATTTTATTTTAATGTGTCCTTGTTACAGTGTAATTGTACATTTAAGTACTGAGTAATATTGATGAACTATGTTCACTATATGGTGAGGGTCAGGATTAGGGTTTGACTTAGGGTTACTTGCATGCAATTATGCATAATATATTGTTATTATAATAGTAAGTACATGTAATGTGTAACAAGGACACCTTAAAATAAAGTGTTACCAAAATATCCACTTACTATTTCACATGAAGCGTTTGGAAATCTGATTAATTTGAGTGAATTTGTTTAAATAGGTCATTCATTTAAATGAGCTGGTTAGAAAAAATATTAATTTATGATGCTATATTTGTTGAAATATTTGGTCAAATATTGCCATTAATCACTTCACCTTGTTATAGAAATTGTGGTTATTTTTAACTTTATTGATTATTTTAGTGTTCATGTAAACCCTACCTATTTAATTCGGTCATTTTTAGTAAGTTCTTTGTGAGCGTAAATAATGCTCTGATTGCAAACAAAATAATACATCATTATTTAAAGATACTTCAATATAACTTCAATGTATTGATGCCTTTTGTTAGTAGCTTGTGTAGTTCAAAATATAAATAAGAATATTTGCATATGTATATGATTTTTTTTTACTATTGCTCAAAAATTTAGGGTCAGTATGATTTTTTTTATTGTAATTAATACTTTAATTTAGGATGTGTTAAATTGATCAAAAGTGACAGTATAGATATTTATGTTGTTACAATTTTTGTCAAATAATTTGTGCTCTTTCTATTCATCCAAGAATCCTGAAAAGATGTATCACAGTTTACAAAAAACATTAAGCAGCACAAGATTTGTTTTCAACATTGACAATAATAAGAGATGTTTCTTGACTAAATCAGCATATTAAAATGATTTCTGAGGAATTGTGTAACTGGAGTAGCGGCTGCTGAATATTCTGCTTTGCCAACACAGGAAAAAATTACATTTGAAAAAAAAGTCATTTGAAACGGTATAATATTTCACAATACTACTATTTTTACTGTATTTTTAATCAAATAAATGCATCCTTGCTGAGTATAAGAGACTTTTAAAATTAAAAAAAAAAATCTTACTGACCCCAAACTTTTGAATGATAACGTAGATATGTTTAGATTATGTCATAATCCTCTTTACTCCTGTGTAGTTTAAGTACAACTACATTCTGAATCAGTGTGTAAAAACACACAAAAATACCCTTAATCAATAGTAGCCCTTTGCCAACTCTAAATATCGATTCACACCAACTTGTTTCTATTTTAGGACACCTCTAATGCAATGCTTTTCTTGCTTAATTTCTCCAGCACTTGTTTCCTACAGTGTCAGAGTTGAGTCTCAGTCAGCTGGAGGGGGAGGGTTTATGTTTTGAGAGAGGCTCCACCCCCTGCGCTCTGATTGGTCCGTTCCCTGCTGTCAGACCGGGACTCACAGACAAGCTCAGCAGAGTGTCCTCGACATTACACAAACACTCACACACTACCAACACTCGCACACACTCCTCTGAGAGCTTAAGCCCTGGACGGGCTTATTTTCACCACAGAAAGAACCGGAGAAGAAAAAGTGCACAAAAAGACAAGCATTTTATAACTTCAGAAAATATTTTGACTTTCTTTTTTTGGAGTCCTATTCAAGGAGAGCGTCTGAGTTAGCGAGCTTGAATGGGTTGTCATGGTGATTGACACTAGCAGGCTGACCCTAGAAGAAGACTGGATGTTGAATGGACAGAGAGCTGCAGTGGCCAGCCAGCGAAAGTAACGGAGTTATCGGAGAAGGGGAAGAAGGGAGGAAGAGAATGGAGGACGGCTTCTCCAGCTACAGCAGTCTCTATGACACCTCTTCACTGCTGCAGTTCTGCAACGGTAAACTCATCATGTTTTCTGTCTTTAGTCTGAGAACTTGTCCATCTTATGATCTACATGTTCAGGTAAACATGTTGCCTCAGCTGGATGGTGGTACCTCAGGTGCTGCACTTAACCTTTATGACCTTCTTCAGTCCCTCAACTTTGAGAAAGTTTTTAAATCCTCTTGGCTGTGATGGATCATTTTGAAAGGATTTGATAGTAGTTGACAGTTTTCGTACACTGAGATGCTCCCGAAGCAAGTGTTTCCAGAAGGGCATCTCTCAAATGTCATGTTTTTCAGGTTCTTATAATGTTTAGGTGAAGCATATTTGCCATTCCTGAGATTGAAGGTGTTTGATGTTGTTTTCAGACAGACGTGTTTGTTTTGAACGAAACAATGCAGAGAAAAATCTCTTACGCCTTTATTACATCAGACCGTTCTCCAGTGAAAATGAAACTCAAGAGCTTTCCGAAAAGCTAAAGAATGAGGATGTCGTTTTTGATTTGTTGGGGTGTTTTTGTTGTTCTGCCATCCTGATTGCCATCTGTAGTCAAGTGTGTGTGTATGCTGGCTGGTGCTTCAAGGCTTTTGGGCGAGGGCTGATGATAAAAGAGGAAAAGAAGAGAGGAGTTTGGGGTGGTTAGTAAGGGATTTACTTGTTCCAGGATGAATAGAAGTGCGTGTCACTGTTCTGTCAAACACTATTAATCTCTTGCATTAAGGAACCTCATATGACATCACAGCGCTAGAGAAAACCACCTGAAGTTCTCCTTGCTCTTGTGCAGGATGTGATGCTGTGCTGTTGCATGAGTTTTTACATTAAAGGTTTTATTGAACTGTAGTTTAAAGGGTTAGTTCACAAAAAAAAAATAATTAGTCCATGAATTACTCGCCCTCAAGGCATCCTAGGTGTATATGACTTTCTTCTTTCAGATGAATCCAGTCAGAGTTATATTAAAAATTGTCTTTGATCTTTCAAGCTGTTTAATGGCAGTCAGCGGGTGTTGCAGTGCATCAGTCCAAAAGAAGTGAAATAAAGCTCATCCATTCATAATAAAAAGTGCCTCACACGGCTCTGGGGAGTAAACAAAGGCCTCCTGTAGCGAATCGATGCGTTTTCGTAAGAAAAATACCTATATTCAAAACTTAATAATCACTTTAATCTAGCTTGCACCAACAGTTGTACACGGAAGCAGTTCTGGGCTGATGACGTATGAGGTCGGCGTTTATTGGTGAGGGTTTATTTCAATCTATACTGAAAAAAATGGCATAGAATCTAAGTAAATTTCACAATTAATTACAAAGAAATGGCAGGTAACACATTAAAATAAATATACATTTTTGTAGTAGAAAGACTGAAGGAGTATTTTCTTGTAGAACATGCTTCAATAATCTTTGATTTATGACATACTCAAATTTCTTGTTTGCAAAAGTAAGTCTATTATTTTACTTTAAATCAACAATAATTCTGTTCGTTCTAGCCATTGACAGTATTTTCATATTATAATGTTATCAATTAGAGATTTTATATTTAACCAATGGATACAGTATACATGCTAAAATTGAATTAGATATTTAATTGTGCAAGTATATATCTTTTAAATCACTAATAATTTAAAACATTTAAAAAAACTATAATAATTTAATGTAATATTTGCATCTATATTTATTATTATTATTATTATTATGGTTGTTGTTAAATGTTAATTTTATAATAATAATGTCATATTTAGCAAATCTTCAAATGAATGTTCATGTTTCATACTGTAAGTTTTAAGGTTGTGATGCCTGAATTCATGCATTTGACGCATTTAAAATAATTGGTTTCAGTTTTTAGTATTTTGTTTTTTATTTATTTTCATAAAATAGTTATCAGTTATCAGTCAAAACATGGAAAATAACTATCAGCTTATCAGTATTGACCAGAATTTTAATATCAGTATATCCCCAGTAGGGCTGCACAATTAATCGAATTTCTAAACGCGATTACAATTACAGATGCCACAATTATGTAATCGTTCAAAGCGGCAATTAATCGTTCAAAGTCCACTTATGTTATTCTGCGTGCTTAAGATGCGTTTTTTTCTTTCTACAGGTTATCTTAAGGGTTTTTCCATTGTTTTCATTTTAGTTTTAGTATAACATTATAATACCATTCATATTTTTATTTATTAAGTTGCCGTATTAAGTTTTTATTTAAAGAAGAAACCAATCCAATGTATAGTTGACATTTGAGGCTTAATACTATAGAAAAGCAATAAAAGTTTTTCAGTTAGAGTGTTTTCAGCTTATTTATTTTCATATAAAAATGGCATGCAGTTGCTTCAAACAATGGTATAAACATCATTCGATGTAAATTGTGATAATCGTAATTAATAATCGCAATTACAATTTCAAGGGAATAATCGACAGTTATGATTTTTGTCATAATCGTGCAGCCCTAATCCGTAGTGTGTTCAGTCTATAATCTCCTTTAAAGTTCATTTAGAAAATCCAACATTAGAGTGATATTTGTTTCTGGGGCCATGTGGCGTAGCTGCATATCTGCCATGTGAGCACTTGGGTGGCTAATGAGATCATCAGAGGTTACTGACTTGTGTTTACACTGAAGCTATGATATGATTGTGTGGTTGTGGTGTAATCTTCTCTTTCATCATCTTGGCAGTCATGTTGACTAAGAAGTCTTCCATTCAGCAGAGCCCTTTAATCTGCTATAGGCCTCATACATCGGTTACACTTATAAACGTCTTGGTTTACAAGTTCTTAAATGAGTGGTTGTGGTGTAATCTTCTCTTTCATCATCTTGGCAGTCATGTAGACTAAGAAGTCTTCCATTCAGCAGAGCCCTTTAATCTGCTATAGGCCTCATACATCGGTTACACTTATAAACGTCTTGGTTTACAAGTTCTTAAATGAAAAAGACAATCTCTCTGCTTTTCTGCATTCACTCTGTTTGGCTGAGTGAGAATGAGAGCTGCTGTGATGGCTGGCCTGTATTCTGGCTTGTCAGGCCAGCGTAGGACTGTGGGTAATTGAATGAGGGTGTGCTGGAGAGCGCTGCGGTGAGGTCATCCGGCAGTACAGTGCTCAGCCGAAGCTCTGGATCTGGTATGAAGTCATTTGTTCTTAAATGCTTCACGAGTTACTGATCAGCAAACTACACTGTTGTAGGGATACTGGGCCAGCAAATTAATTTTCATAGGCAGATTCTAGGGGCATTATACCTTTATTTAAAGTGTTGCCAATCTCAGAACCATCTGCTCTTGAAGGGATAGTTCAGACAAAAATTTATATTGTAAAGACGTGAGGTTATTTTGCCTCCATAATCCTTCAGGAAATTACCAAAATGATGATGGTCACATTTTGGCTGAATAAAAACATAATTTAAAGTCAATCTTAAAGGGTTAGTTCACTCAAAAAAAAAAATTATTCACCATGTTATTCAAAACCATTAAACCAAAAAATATAAAAGATGATATAAAATGAAAAATGTATCCATGTGAGTCTGTACATTGAAAGTCAATGGGGTTCATTATTGTTTTTGGCCCACTTTGGGTTTGTATTGACAAAAGCTGTTAAAACATTCAAAATATGTTATTTTGTGCTCCACAAAAGAAAAAGAAAAAATTCATGAAGGTGAATAAATGATGAATTTTCATTTCTGAGTGAATTAATCCTTTAAGATCAACCTTTAAATGATGGTTTTCATACAGTCAAATCATTACCATCATCTTAGTTATTTCCTCAAGGATTCTGAAAAATAATCTTATGTCCTTACCCAGATTAGGACAAAAAATATAAAAAGACAATATAAAATGAAAGATATTTTGAAAAAGGTCTATGCAATGAAAGTCATTAGGGTTCAGTATTGTTTTGGCCCCCTGTGACTTTCATTGTATTGATGAAAACTGTTGAAACATTCAAAATATCTTCTGTTGTGCTCCAGGTTTGGAAAGACATGAAAAGACAATCTCTCTGCTTTTCTGCATTCACTCTGTTCGGCTGAGTGAGAATGAGAGCTGCTGTGATGGCTGGCCTGTATTCTGGCCAGGATGAGCGAATGATGTCAGAAGTTAACTAATCCTTTAAGACTGACCTTTACATAATTGTTTTCATTCAGCCAAAACGTGACCATCATCTTGGTTATTTCCTGAAGGATTCTGGAGACAAATTAACCTCATGTCCTTACTTAAATTAAACATTGGCGGTGAGTTCTGGCAAAGGGAGTAACAGGATATCTAGTGTTCTGGCATCAAGACGTCTACAAGTCGTCTCAGTCTTTCTGACTGCTATTATCTCATTCAGCCGCTGCTGCCAGAGAAGTGTTCTTGGCACTCGGCTCTCACTTCTTATTGGCTGTCCTTTGAGCCACTGATGGATGCATGTGCAACAGGATTAGGATTAAAGACCTGCTCACGTTACCGACCGAACCAGAAGAGAAAACTGAAAGTGAGTGAGAATGAATGTCATGAACAAAAGCTTCCACTTGCCTCTACACTTGATCTCTCCACAACCTTAGCAGCAAGAATATAAAAGGTTGAAATTCTAATGCCATTCATAAGAGCCACAGTTGGAAGACATCATTTATTCATTGTTTTCTCATTGACCTTACGAGGCTGTCACTTGAATTTGGAGGTAAATATTGATATACAGAAAATAACTCTTCAAGGGCTGTCGATTCATTCAAAGCTAGACATCGATTTCCTTTAGTATTGTGGCTCTTGTGCTGTTATTTATTGAGCTGTGCTCTCATAAAAAATCGCAGACTGAGGGATAAAACTCGTCTTATCCTAAATGGGTGATATTGACACAGCCTTTGTTTGTCTGTTATGTGGCAGACCCCAGATGACTTGCATTGGCTCTTTATCAGGCACTCTCTCCTATTTCCTTACTGATAACAATTCTCAAACCATCATCTGCACAGGCCTTCTATCTGAAAAGACCGAAGCCATTAGTGCTGCATGCTCTCTCTCTCTCTCTCTCTTTCTCTCTCTCTCACTCTCTCTCTCGCTCGCGT